TTATTAGTGGCCATTCTATTTTAAGTGAGAGCTTTCCACTCAATTTATTTATTTGTTTGTTTTGTTCTTTTATTTACTATTGACATAGACTAATGGAGTCCTACTTTATTCAACAGCTCTATTCCATCACTAGTATTTTTTTATTTTGATGCTCAAATGGTACCAGATTTGACATGTTCTGTTCCATCATTAACCAAGAACTTCTTTATTTTCTGGCACAACAAGATGTTCCCGACTCATCTTGTAATTCTCCTGTCCTAACCCTGGAATCTGCTATTTCTCCAGAAAGCCCTGACTCCTTTTAAGGGGAAATACTATTTATAAACCAAGATCTGGGCACTGAGTGTGCTCAGTGCTACTGGATGCCATTGTTTCTGTGCTCTTTCACTGAGAGCTAGGATATCTGCGCACACATGGTCATGCCTATATTTAAGACACATGTCCCTGCATATGTATGAATAAGTATGTGAGTGAATGCATATATACAGACATCCATATCTACTTCTGTATCTATCTATAAAACCATGAGTATATACTGATATTTTCAATTCCAATACAATACTACAAGCTTCCTTCTTCCAGCCTTCCCCCATTTCACAGTTATACGTCCTTTCTCCAATAATGAGAAACTCATATTTTATAATAGGATATTATAGAACTTTATTTAATAGACTTGTGCTTAAAAATTTTTTTTCTTAAATTTTTTATATCTTAGATGAAGTAACAGAAGAAGGGCATCTAAAAGCTTTACCATCATTGCTAACATTAAAGTTTTGGGGCATGTGCTAAGGAGTTCCTTTCTGGATACACTGCTAAAGGCACAGTGTGAACCGATCAAAATTAATGTCATATAAGATATTTTACATTCTTAAACTAAAAATAAGCCCCACTAGACTGTTAAGTAGTTGAACATGTTTTATAAACCTAACAGACACATGACTTAAGATACATATTCAATGCAAAAACATGTATCTTTCTGGGTTCCATTTTATGTCAGTTAGGATGAGGTAGAGGAATAAAAGATGAATATGGATATAGTTTTTCCCTCATGGAAATCTGCTCTCAAGATTAGGGAAGAATGAATTAGTTGATAAAGGTAAGGACAGACTTTACTATGTACACTATTATGCCCATATTTCAAAAATGAAACAAGGTCTTACTTGTAGCCGACAGTTGTTGACATCTTTCTACCTCATACAGTGATACTGATCCAGAGCCTATAGGAAAGAGAAAGAGAAAAGAATCAGACAGTTTTAAAATCCATTAAAAATTCAATGTGGCACTGAAAACTATGAAACATTGCTGAGAAAAACTGAAGAAAATCTGAACAAATAGTGAAATGCCATGTTCATGGATTAGAAGGCTCAATATTGTTAAGATATCAATCCTTCCCAAAACGATCTGTAGATTCAATACAATCCTAACTAAAAGTACAGAGGCTTTACTGTAGAAAGAAACAAGATTCTATAATTCACCTGGAAATGCAAAGAATCTAGAATCTAGAATGTAACCTTGAAAAAGAACAAAATTGAAGGACTTATACTACATGACTTCAAAACTTACTTTAAGCCATAGTAATCAAGACAATATGGTACTTGCATAAAGACTGACAAACATAAACAGAATTCATTTTTGAAAGCCCTATTAGAAATAAACCCACATTTATGTGGTCATTTGATTTTTGATAAAAGCAAGGTAATCCAAAGGGGAAGCAAAACTCTCTTCAACAAATGATGCTGCAACAACTGGAAATTAGTGTGAGGGAAAAAATGTGCTTACTTCACACCTACTACTAAATATTGAACGGAAAGCCCAGAAATAGATCCACATTTATTGCCATTTGATTTTTGACAAAGACACCAAAGTCATCTTACAGAAAAAAGGAAACAAACGGTGCTACAACAACTGGAAATTCTTATTTAAAAAATTGTCTACCTCATATCATACTACTAAGCATTATTTAAAAGGAACAAACTGTTGATATATGCAACTATATGGACAGGTGTCAAAAACAGACAGTATGTACAAGAGTACACAATATATTATTCCATTTATTTGAAGTTCTAGAACAGCCACAATTAATCCACAGTGGAAAAACATCAGAACTTCTGGGAGGAGGAGTGATGGGAAGGAGCATGAGGCAGCTTTCTGCAACAAGGGTGATGTTCCAGATTTTAAGAGGGATTTAAGTTACTCAGGTTTATGTGTTAGGCAAAACTCAGGGAACAGTACATTTAAGTTGTCCATTTCACTGCACATAATTTTAACTCAAAAATAAAAAATAATCCGAAAAAATACTGAACTCTAGTTAATGATGTTCATTCTAAAGTATTTAGGAGGTGCACTTATGTCTGCAAGTTACTTTGAAATGCATCAAAAAATAAGATGGACTGATGGATTAAAAGAGAGGTAGATAGAGTAAAACGCTATTCAGAGAATCTAGGTAGTGCCTATATGAGTGTTCACTATACAACTGTTTTAACTTTTCTGTATGTTTGGAACTTTTTATCATGTTGGAAAAATATATTGTGAAAGAAATAAAGGGAGAGATGGCTAAAATAATAAACTTACTAAATTTAATAGGATGATGATGAACATCATAAAATAGGATTTTACTTTAACAAGAAAGTATAACTATAACAGAGCAGTAAGTTTTAATAATGCTTTCTAAAATGAAGAACTTAAGACTTAAAAAAATCCATATTTCGCAGTTACTTTAGCTTACTTTATTGTATTACATATAATAGCATATTATGTTTTTATAATTTATTTTGTGCCTCACATACAAACATATGCATTACTTGTCCTTATTCCTCAACATCACTAATAAATGGCACAAGAGTCCACAGCAAGAGAATTTGAATGGACATCTCAAGCTGGCAAAGAACAATTTCACCGAATCTGATTATTTAATATCTGCTGTTCCGTAGGAAGTGAAAACAATGGCAAAACCTTAAAAGTAGTCAAATAATAAGAAAATAAGAGAAAATATGTGCCAAATATATACACAGTCTGCCACAAGCTGATAAGAAAAACATTACCTAACAGAACATCAGGTAAAGGATAAGAGCAGACAATTCAAAGAAGAGAAAGTAAAAGGGGCCAGCACATACACAATTCCAAGTTTCCAAGGACTCAGGGAAACTAAATAAGACATTACCTCACACCTGTCAAATAGTCAAAAATTACATATACTGTTAACCTCCAATACTGCTGAGAGTGTGAGAAAGGACAGTTTCCTGCACTGTTTGCATATGCATCCTATGACATCTTGGCCTATAATCTGGCAGTGTCTATTAAAAGGAAAGATGGGTTTACCCTTTGATCCCTCAACCCCACTTTTAAGAATTTATTTTAGAGAAATACAAGCATGAAAGTACAATTGTTCAAGGACGGTTATTAAAGCATTATTAGCAAGAGCAAAAAAGTGAATGCCTATCAAATGGAAAACGGATGAATTTATAACACTAGATTCATATTATAAAATACTATGCAATTACTAAAAGAATGAATTTGAGTTATATTAAATAGACCATAAAGAGGTCTATAATATATTGTTAAAGAAAGCAACTGTATAGTATGGTTCTGTATACATAAAACTTTTAAACAGAGGAGAAAGTCATATTTGTTTACATACAGGTCACATATATTTGTATAAACATGAAGTGCTGAAGGAATCACTCTGTTAACATGACCTCAAGGAGTGGGCGTAAAGGCATGGGAAAGCTATGTAATTCGATATTATGACATGTATTACTTTTGTAATTTAAAAATCTTTGTAAAAAAAGAAAGATTTCAAAAAGTGTAATTATGAATTATACCGTCTGCAAATGATTGTCAGTTGAAGTAAATTGGCCTCCTAATGGTAGTTCAGGTAATCACAGATCCGGCTAAAATATCATCACTAAGGTGCTAGTATATGTAGAGAGTTTTAAGGCAGAGAGAATAAAGAATAAATATAAAATATGTACAAAAAATCAAATAGCCTGCATTTGAATCTGACCGGCTTTGCCATCAGTGAACAATTAAATAATGCTGTGCAAACTATATGGCCCACATCACTCAAAGCCTCAGTTTCCTTTCTGTACAAGGGGAAAATTAATATCAACCTGACAGGAGTGCTGTTAGGATTAAACAATAACGCATGTGTGCCTACCAAGCCATACATGTTAATTTTACTGCTTATCATTATTAATATAGAAGGAGAGTAAACAATAATAAAATGCTTCCTTGGATCATAGAAGGCAAAGAGTTAGATTGTAAAAAATGATAACGGGATAAAAACATGATATAGATGCTAGGTCCCAGAATGTACAAACAGACATTAAGACAAAGTGGTAAAGGAAAAAATCTTACAGATTGAGAATTTTAAAATTTAGATTTGAATAGTCACCTATTCAGGTAGACAACAATATAAATACACAACCAATTGTTTGTTAATATCTCATAATTAGGCACTTGATTGACTCAGTAAAAACTGGGGACGATGTATACCTCTAAGACATGTATGATCAAAAAATACTTAGGCTGTTTGAAATAAAGCAGGAAAAACAACCTTTGTTCTTTTAGAAACTGACAAACAAACAGTTGCCTGGAAATTAATACAGATTTTTAATAAATAAATGCACACATACATATATATATTTACATAAATACTACAGATATCACAAATCAAGTAATCCCTACCACCCCAATTTGAAAATGTAATTACACAATTAAGTGAGGAATAATGTTTACCTTCATATAGGATACAGATAAAGGTTTAGCGTGTTGCTTTACAATGAATACAATTTAACAAAAACAGCAACAGAGATAAGAAGATATTTAAAAAGAAGATGAATGTTGATAAAGCCATTTTACTTAGGAGAAACTGTCAATGTTAAAAACTGTCCTTACTTGAAACAGTTGGAAAGCTGTCCTCACGTTCTGATGGACAGATACCCTCTGAACACTGATTGGCTGTCAAATCTGCAGATTCTAAAACCCTATAATGGGAAGAATGTAAGTTCAAACTGCATAAAACGAAGTCAATATGGTCAGTTTAGCTCTAACCATAGAAACCAAAAACCCACTGAAATTGTATAAAAAATTGTATGTGTGTGTAAGCATTCTTCAGTAGAATGTCTACAGCTTTTATCAGACGATCCTAGGGGTCTCAAGGACCCCCCCAAATTTTAAACAACCAGACTCTAGAAAGATACAAATGAAACAGTGGGATGATGAAATATTGCAAAGAAAAAGAAGCTGGGAATTGAATGGATAACAATCTGAATCAGAAAAATCTCAGTCTATAGATTCAACAAGTGAAATACTATGCTGCTGTATATTGCAATGACAAATAAAGTAGTGACACTGATATAAGATCATTAAAACAGCTAATTTAATTGACTTTAAAGTCATACTTATTTCAATGTATTCAAACTTAGAAAATAATTACTTCATTTCAATTTACTGAACAGGATATTTTCTATATCTCTTTGAAGGTATGCAGAAGATTTATTTTTATTTCTCTAGAATACCGGTCAAAAGTTTCTATCCAGAGTGACCAGTAGGAAAACTTCAAGAAAAAGAGAACTCCATGCATAGCAGGATTTAAGGTATGATTCACGTTCTGGGCACATTTGAAAGTTTGAAAAATATGATAGCCTAAAATTCTTCTGGTACTTGTTTTATCAGTAATAGGCACTTTAGAAAGGTAATATTTTTTCATGGCAGAATTAAGTATGTTTGTTTTCCAAATTTTAGCTAAACTCCAGTTTCCACTGTTTGTTGCTGTACTTGGAGAATGTGGCAAATAGTAGGATAGCAAAAGTACAAAGAGTAGATACTGGAAAACTCAGACTATAACTTGAGCTCTGCTACTATTTAGCTATTTGAACCTACAATCACTTGATTTCTGTTTCATTTGGTTCACCTATTTTAAGAAATGGATAGTGGCATAGAAGGCTATGAGGAAAAATTACAAGGAACCGATTGGACCCCTCCTCCCCAACTCAGAATAGTATTATTTTAGAAATCAGCTTAATTAATACCTTATTTAGAATTTCTAAATAGTTATATAACATGCTTACTTTTTCAGCTGATCCACATCAGAGTTACTTTCTGGCAAGACTCTGATTCCCCGACCATAACTGGTACCTCCATGGAGATGAAACTCAAGAGCTAATGATGTTGCCTGGTTCTCCGAATTCACTGACTGAAGTTTGGTATGGAGACTATAAATTCTAAGAAAGCTTCCAACCTAAGAATAAATTATTTATTATTAGAAAATGAAGAAAAAGTCAAAGAATTTCTGATACTCAAAATATTTAACAACCAATATGGGGCAGAGACCAACAACCAGAGGCCAATCAGAAAGGATACTGGTATGTGATACAGCTATGTACTGAATACCAGGCCCAAGGACACCATGTGTATCAAAACCAAAACATGTGTGTGTATGTACATATGCATGCATGTATACATACATGTATATATACATATTTTTTCAAATGTAAGAGATATTTCCATTTCAGAGATATTAAAGTGTGAAATAAGATTGAGTCTTAGCACTGATAAAATACAGTAGTTAAGACACCCATTGCCGAAATCAAATCCAAGCCTTCTATTTGATTAAGAAAGCTATTTAAGGTTTCTGAAAATAACAAGCTTTAACAATGTTAAGATTTAATTAAATATCACTAAAGCACTCTCATTAGGAGAATAAAATAAAACAATTTTAAACGTGCTAGTATATCAAAATAATAAACATCCCCCCATCGCACAAGTTCTATGGAAAGAAAAGTTTTGTAATAAACAATTTGTATTTGTACACTATAATGTGAAACACACTCTATGACTTCAAATATAGGATTAAACCAATTATAGTTTTGAACTAAATGTTCTATAGTTAATTTTAGATGTTTTGCTAAACTTAGTCTTAAAAATGTCTTCATGAGTATTTGATATTCTTTTAAAGTAGAAGACTTAAAATGAGACAGATGCAGAATGTTTATCAAAGAAATTGACAGCTACTCAAAGGAAGAAGCCATCTAACCTAAATCACATTTATTTATTTATTTTTTTAAAGATTTTATTTTTTTCCTTTTTCTCCCCAAAGCCCCCCGGTACATAGTTATATATTGTTAGTTGTGGGTCCTTCTAGTTGTGGTATGTGGGATGCCGCCTCAGCGTGGCTGAATGAATGGTGCCATGTCCGCGCCCAGGATTCGAACTGACGAAACACTGGGCTGCCTGCAGCGGAGTGCGTGAACTTAACCACTCTGCCACGGGGCCGGCCCCTAAATCACATTTATTTTTATGAAGCTTTCTAAACAAAAGGAGTTACCAAGGAGAGAGTTTAATTCACTTGCATAAAGCAGCACTGACTGCTGATGACTGTGGGACTAACATTCTCTTTTTCTCCTACAAGGTCAGGATTGAGTAACAGTGGTGAGATTCTATGTAACAGAAAGCTACAGAAGACGGAATATTAAAGAAGATGAGGTCGTAAACCAACCTCCCACCTCCGCTTATTGCTGTTTCAGTTAATCACCCTCTGGATTTGATGGGGGAAGAGGGGAGAAATAAAAGAGTAGGGGGGAAATCCACACTCCCAGATGCTCCTCCTTCATTCTCAAGGGTCCATTCCCATCCAGTCCTGGGTTTTGTGAGGAGAAGGGAAGGCATTTAGCCTTTTCTTCTCTGACTTTTTCCACTGACGCTTACATCATAGCAGGGGAGCAGGGTAGAGAGTCAGAGAAGGAAAACACAAAAAGAAAAAGGAAAAGAAGACAAAACTGATCTTCCTTATGGTCTCCAAAGTAAGACACTGGAAGAAAATATAAAACAATCTACTTCTAATTACTTTTATTCTTATTCTTTTTGAATGTTTATCATTCTGTGATTCTTTTAAATATACATAATATCCTAGTACAGTACATGTATATAGTCTACAAAGGACTTAATAGGTTCAAACACATGGAGAAAGATGCCATATTCATAAATGAAAAGCTTCAACACTAAAAAGACAACAATTTCCCCAAATTAATTAATCTTTAAGATCAATGCAATTTCAATCAAAATCCCCAGTGTGTTTTAAAGGAACTGGAAAAGCTGATCCAAAAATGTATATCAAAGAGAAGAGCAAGTCAATTTTGAAGACTAAGCTGGGGGGGGGGGGGAGCTTCTCTGACCTATGGGTTATCACTTAAAAATAAAGGTATAATAATTAAGACAGTCTGCTATTTAATGCAGACACAAGTATAAACATGGATAAATCTTAATATAATGTCAGAGGTAAAAAGCAAATTACAGAATGATACATATACTATATGCATTTTTCAGACAAAAGAACATAAAATAAAAACATAATAAACGTAGGTGCACATACCTACATGTTAGGTTAAATGGAAAGAGGATACTGGGGAGCAAAAAGCAAGAACAAGCAGAAGTATAAACAAGGTTCAACATGTAGAGCTTTATTTCTTAAAAATTAAAAGTACCTGAAATAAGTGTGGCAAAACAATTAGAAATGTTAAATTTAGATGGCAGGCACACGGGTGTTTACTATACTATCTTCTCTACTATTGTATTTCATAATAAAACAAAATTTAAAGACCAAGAGAGAATTTATTTATATAAATAGGCCATAAAGATGACAAATTGTTATTTCCAGAAATTCCTTCTGGAGGCAGCATTGTATTTTTTTAAGATTGCTAAATACACTACGAAATGTGCCAGATGCTGTATTATCATAGACAAATACTGTTTAGTCTTATCAGTAATGTGATAAGATTCCAAAAATTAAAAGTGAATCATAACCAGAAAATTATGAGAATATACTTTAAAAAATTGTTATAAAAGCCCACTTCAATACAGAAACATTAAAAATAAAGCAAACCAAACATAGGTATTAATAAATCAGTATCCCTTTAAAAATACACTTAAATATTCCTTACAAACTATCAAGAATTTCCCTTCAGGTTTAATATTTTAAATGACCTATATATGTCTAAAAATAACCAAACTACAGCTCTTGGGTCACTGAAGGCCAAAACATAAATATGACTGTGTATGTTTTATAGTTATTTTCAAACTGTGTCAGGCTAAGACTGGGGATTGAAAATACACTACTTTAATTTTTAGACAAAAGGTGTGAAACATCAGTTTGTGTGTTTGTGTGTGCTTGTGTAAAATATTTAGGGAATGAGATAACTCACTTAAAAAGCAAGATTTAGGAAAAATGTTGAGGGCAACATAGGCTATAAAATGTATTTTATATAAAAATCAATTATATTATACTTTATAATTGTTTTAACTGTACTCTTTGTTAAAAAAAAAGACCCCACATTTTTCCCCATTCCTATACAATAAAAATACATGTGTTCCATATATTTTGGTATAAAAATGCAATTTTAAGCAGTTGTCTTCAAGTGCTGATAAGAATTCATTTGCATCAACGTCACCTGACTCTGGGGATGTCTTAAATTAGTATGAAATTGCATAGAGGTTGTCTCAGAACAAATAAATGTGGTATCAATATACACTAAACAAAAGCCTAAAATTATATTATTTACACATGGAGAAAATCTTTTTCCTTTTCCTATTATACTGCAGATACATAATATAATGTCATGGTATCTTTAGAAAAAAATTAAGTAGCCTACATTTTCTTAATTATGTGTTCAGAGCACCCTCTAGTGCGTGAGATAAAGCAGACAATAAAAAGGGAGATGAAAAAAAAATCTGAAAAAAATTCACAGCACTCATTGATTCATTCATTCTCCAGCAGATATTATTATTTACTTCATCCTCACTACATCGAAAGCACTGTGTGAGGTGCTGTCAGGACTTGGGCAAAGGAACCAGGACAAGTGAGGGGAACGTAAGACCTATAGAAGCAGAATAGGGAAACAGAAGGGAATTCAGTGGTGAGAGTAAAATCTAAACCGTAAATCTTTCCCATTCACAAAAGAATGCTATCTGTATGTTAAAAAAAACCTTTACAATTGGCTTCGTCATTACATTTATTTTTGAAATAATACTAATTGATGTAGATAAAATCAGGAGAAAAGCATCAAAAATATATCTTTAACCGTCAATTTTCTCTGCTACATCAAGTGTGAACATGTACACACACAAACACACACACATACATTAAGGACAAGAAGTGCAGTTCTCACCTTCCTGCCCTGACTTTCACCTAATACATTAACTTGAGTCGGGTGGGCTTATTTGCAACACAGTTTACAAGGAGAAGTATTTCCTCGTCCAAGAACATTTATTTACAGAGGGAAAATGGGCCCTAAAATTCACATCTAAAAAAACCCACAATGCACTTTTACTGTTTTCTTCCTACCAGTCAGCTGTATAACTCCCTAAAGGTAGGACAGAAGCTATTTGCAATAAAAAAAAAGTCATTTCTTTATACTGCTCAAGAGGACTAGCTCTGGAAACACACTGTAGATCTGAATACTGGCTTCACCCAACAAGCTGTGAAACCTGGGCTTACCCTCTGAGCGCCTGTTTACTCACTTGGAAAACAGGAATGATGACAGTCCGACTGCGCAGGATAGTGCTAAACACAGAGGATGTGCTTAACAAATGATATTTTGATACCATTCTTTGCTAGAAAGGATACTAGCAAATAAAAGAGAGAATGAAATAGACAAAAATATTCCCTAAAATATCATGAATAAGCAATAAGTGCCAATCTCTGCAGTGAACTTTTACCTAAACAACTATATCTCAAAAACAGTGGGCAAATTCTACTAAACTGTACAGCACACACATGGACACACAGTTTATGATGAACACTGCAGGCGGATAACAATTTCTTAAACTAATGAGTACAAAGTTACTGGCTAGATTTTATCAAACCAATTCACAAAGTTTACAAATATTTAAGAATAAGTTTACAAATATTTGATATACCCTTTGTCATTTTATTTTTTTTCCTTAAGATTGGCACCTGGGCTAACAACTGTTGCCAATCTTCCTCTTTTTTTTTTAATTTTTTTTTTTTTTAAGGTTTGGCACCTGGGCTAACAACTGTTGACAATCTTTTTTTTTTTCTTTTCTGCTCTATCTCCCCAAACCCTGCCCTGTACACAGTTGTATATCTTAGTTGCAGGTCCTTCTAGTTGTGGGATGTGGGACGCCGCCTCAACGTGGCCTGACGAGCGGTGCCATGTCCGCGCCCAGGATCCGAACCCTGGGCTGCCACAGT